TGGGTGACCCTGCTTGGGCAGGGGGTTGGGCTGGGTGACCCACAGAGGGCCCTGCCAACCCCTAACGTTCTGTGATTCTGTGGCAGGAGAGATGGTTCCGTGGCTGAAGACAACGGGGTGAAGCCAGGATGCCAGCCACCAGCTGTGCCCTCCTGACGCCCTCTCGAAGCGTGGGATGCAGAGCCGTGCCCTCTCCCTCCTCACGCCGCCGGGACGTGGTGCCGGGCTCTCTGTCGCAATGGTTGCTGAGCCTGCGTGAAGTACGGGCTCTGCACAGCGCCAGCCAGTAGCCGGGGACCTGCGGTGGGACCCGCGCGTCGCCCGAGCAGGAGCATGCCAGTGAAGCCCCTTCCCGGAGCCCCACATTGGGCAGGAGCTCCGGGCAGGGCGCGGAGCAGGGCTGCAGCCCTCCCAACTGGTTTCTGAACGCGAAGGGGAAGTGTTGGTTGGCGGTTCTCCTCGGGTTGGCGGGCGTTGCATCCCTCCCCACCCCGCGCCCTGCTCAGCCAAACAGATCGCTGCCTCGCCTCATTAATGGTCAAATCGCATGCAAAGCAGGGCAGACGGCGAGCAGCATCGTGCGGCACCCAGGGATCCCCGGCTCTCGCCAAGGGATGCTCCAGCAGCGCAGATGCAGCGGCAGCACCCAGTCCCGGCCATGGTAAGGTGTCCCGGTGCTGCGACCCTGCGCTCCTCGGGAGGTTCCTGCTCTGCCTCCGATGAGACCCTTCCTGAGCCAACCTTGTCGTTGCTTAACCCGACTGCTTGCTGGAAAACTGATTAATCAGTCTGTCTCTTAACAGTTACCTAAATCCACATCTCTGTTAGTAGCGATGTTTTAATTAGTGTTTGTATTTAAAGTGCTAACGATAGTGCAGTGTTTTCTAGAATCAAAATCTCCTGAAGTGCTGGGTCCTCCTCTGGAGCCTGACCAGCCGGGGCTGGGCTAGGTGCTGTCGTGATCTCAGTCTGACCAGAGCCAGCATTCACAGCCAGATCAGTTTTTTTCCCTGCAGTGTGCAGCGTAGGTGTGGATATTTACTGGACGTAACTTCACGAAGTTTCGTATATGCTGTGCTTTATTCTGCCTCATGATCTACCTTTCAAACAAAATAGTGCTTTGAGTGTAGAGAACAGGACAGAAATTCCAGATGCTAGAACAACTTTGAAAATACTGACAGTAATTACGCGATGTGTGGGGACCGTCTTCAGCAGGCTTTGTGGCAGTCACGTTGCTGCTCTTAGAGCTAAGACCTAGCTTGGTTTCAGCTTTAATCTCTGTCCCATTTTTCTACCACTTTGTTTTCCCCTGCTTTCTAATTGCTTTGTGAATATTTTAACCAAAGGCTTTGGCGAGAAGCTTGCTTTATGCTGCTGTTGCCCTGCGGGTGGGCGTGTGTGCGTTTGCCTCCGGAGGGAGCAGAGTGAGCACTTGAGAGCCCACTCTTTCTTCCCCTGTGGCACGAAAGCATTTTTTTAACCAACCTTTAGAAAGGAAGCAAAACTTGTCCTCAGGCAAACTCACGCTTGTTGCAGCTTCCTAGAAAGCTTTGCTCTTGGAAGAATGCTGGTTGTGCTACCTACTCCAAGCCGAAAGCAGGAGCTCTTTGGAGCCAAAGAGAAAATGAAATCGCAGCGCGGGAGGGTGGCAGCGGTGCCGGCAGCTCTCTGGGCTGCCAACG